TGCGAAGGGATGGAGTGAGGGAACCCTGGAGACCGTGCAGAGCAGCGTGAGAGTGATGCGAGGTGCTTCTAGCGAAGGAGAGGAGCCTCGGCAGAAATCGGGAAAATATTGCTGTGGCAGGAGAAAAGTACCCAGAGGTGGAAAACCTTCCACAGCCCGCAGGGTCAGAAGAGGGAATGGGCTAGCTTTTCCTACTTCCGGTCCCTAAGCAAGCTGAATTTCATCTTAAAGTGTCCTCGAAGACTTAAATTCATGAGGATTAACCAGAGAGACGGCTGGAGGGGAGAGAAGTGAGAATTCAGGGGAAAGGTGTACTTGAAAAGAAATCAGGAAATCTCTCAGAAGGAAGAGCAGCGAAGCTGGAGTCAAACTGGGAAAGAAAAGCACGCAGCACAGAAATGAGGAAACAGGAAAAGGAGGAGGAAAAGAAGGGCAACAGGAAGTGGGCCCAAAGGTGAGAGAGAACAGAGGGGTGTCGTCACCCTGCTGGGCCTCTCTCGGGGCATCTGTAAGCTCATTGCGTACCTCAGATCATGCTACGTGCCACCTTGTATTAACGTTAAGTGTTTCAACGGATGGCAAGTAAGGATTTGTTGCATATAACTAAGACGTTTTTGTGTCAATCCTTAAAAAAAAGAGTTTAGCTTTGTACCTAGTGGTTTAAATGCATCCACCTTCTGCTCCTGGTTCCTCCAATTTCGCGAGCAGGAATAGTTAGAAAGTGGGTTCCCGCCAACATCCCCAATGTATGCTACCAATACCTCCCCCACCCTTCTCCTTGCCAGTTTTAAACTTTGTGTAAATGTGTTTTAAAGCAATGTACGTATATGTTAGAACTAGCCTGGGTTAGGCCTTGTGCAAGCCGCTGGGAATTGATTGTAATGTTCAACACAAGGAACTCACATGAAAGCTATTGAGGATGCTGAGAAACTGGGTAGCTAGCATTGCTGGGCTGAGGGGCGGTGGTGGATGTACAATGGCAGAGCCCTCTGGAAAAGAGTTTGGCAGTTCCTTACAAAATTAAACATTTGGTCAGGCGTGGTGCCACACACATGTAGTCCCAGCACTTGGGAGGCTGAGGCAGGAGGATCACTATGAATTTGAGCCATCCTGGGCTACATAGTGAGTTCAAGGCCAGCTTGAACTAAATAGCAAGACCCTGTCTCAAAACACCAAGAAAAAAAGGACAAAATTAAACATACAAATGCCATATGACCATAAATTGCATTAATAGTAATTCACTTCATGCAAAAACCTACACATAATTGCTCATAGTGCTTTTATTTGAGCAGCGAAAAACTAGAATCACATTCTTTTCAACAGGTGACTGGTTTGACAAGTTGTGAAACATCTATGCCAGGAAATATTACTCAGCAATAAAAAAGATCAAACTAATGCTTTCCAATTGGGACGGATCTCCAGGGAGTTGTGTTGAGTTTTAGAAAAGGGGCAAAGTGTTCTGTGTGGTAGGATTCCGTGTGTACCACAGCTCTCAAGTGAGAAAACTTTAGATTTGTTGCTGGAGGTTAGAGAGAGGGCAGGGAGGAGGCGATGCAGTTAGGAGGCAGGTGAAGCCTTACAGGGCAATGTGAGAGGTCTTTCTGGTGATGGATCCCTATCTTGACCAGTTAAGGCGGAGGTATGACTTTCTACGTGGGGTAAAATTCTGTACACTTAATGCACACAGACACATCAGTGAGTGTAAAACTGGGGAAATATGAACAAGAGAGCTGGATTTTATCAACATGAATGCCCTCCCTGTGAGAGTCTGTGCAAAAGTGTACATGCACACTTCTTGGTATCCCATAGACTACTAAATCACACTGCAGTTTTGTAAGATGTCCCTGTGAGGGGAGCGTGGGTCTGTCCATCTATGTGTCTGTTTGTCGACAGGAAGCCTTTATACCAGAGAGAGTGATTCTCCTTCCCAGGGCTTCTTCGTCAAGATTATTTTAACTATGCCAGGGCCTGTGCTTTTCCATATACATTTCATAATTACATGTATATGTCTATAGTAAACCTTCCTATGATTTTTAATAAGAACAGCATTAGGGCTATAGATTAACTGGTGAGAATTGACCTCATTCTTATGTTGAATCTCTCCCAGTGCAGGGACATTGTGCTTTACATTTATGTAGGTCTCCTTTGATTCTTTTTTGTCACCAATTTGAAATTTTCAGCATATGGATCCTATATGTGTTTTGATAAATGTATGCCTGAGTACTTCATTTTCTTTGGAGCAATTATACTTAGCATTACATTTTAAATTTTAGTTTCTGTACCTTCATTGTTTCTACATAGAAGTGTGACCAGTTTTTGCTACTGTCCTATCTAGTACCTTTGCTCAAAGCATTTGCTAATTCCAGGAGGGTATTTTTGGTAGATTCCTTAGGATTCACTTTGCAGACAGTCCTGTGGTCACTGAATTGAGATGGTTTTATTTCTTCATTTCCAATCTGCGTGCTTTCTGTTTCTTTTCTCACCTTATTGTGGTGGTTAGAATTTCCTATACTCTGCTCAGTAAAAATGCTAAGGGCGGGCAGGCTTCCTATTGTTCTTGATCTTGTAAGGAAAATATGTGTTATGTTAGCTCTGTATTCTTTGTAAATGCTACTGATGAAGTTGAAATTGTTGTCTTATTCCTAAAGTGTTGACTGTCTTGGAGTGACTTACTTTTAAACTTCTCTTTTCATCTGTGCTCTGTAGTCAACATCATCATATACTCTAAACAATTTTATGAGCTTTACAGCATATATACAAGCATAGCAACGTATGCAAATTAAAATAAAACATGACATAGCATAACCGGCAAAATCAGCTTAAGGAAACAACAAGTGAAGTCATAAGTGGAATGCACAAGGGAAAACCAAAGGAAGCCACAGTGAAATTCATACGGAGTTCATGTTTCTGAATAATTAGTATAATTCCATCATGATACAGCAGAATCTGATTGTAATTTTCACATTCAAAGGCTGACATTGGCTTCATTAAGGCCTTTCAACCTCTTCTGGGCAAACACTGTGGCTTATTCATACTGATTTTCCCTGGGCTAACATAGTATATAAACATCAGGAAATGAGAGCGTAATTTAATTTATTTCCAATTCAGTCATTAACTTTATGCTTATCTATTTTCATCTACCTAAAAAGATCTGGGTTTCAACCTATAGTTGTGTGAGGATATTTATGGCAAATATATCATCCTCAACACCTTTGTGAATAGTCCGGATTTAAAGTCCTCTCTTAAAGCATCTCTGTACAAGATTGCACGTGGGTTTTTGGTGTTACTTACCTTTGATCACAAAACTGACAAAATTGTTCTCGTGTTTAGTACTCTTCTAGATGCCAGATTTTTGCTTGAGAAGACCCTTGTTACACACGTCGCCTTTGAGTGTGAGCGGTGCATTGTGAAGAAACAGTCTTTCTTTAATATAGCTCACTGGTTTCTTCAATTGGGGGGAATACTTTCTTGTAGTTGTTCCGGTGAACCATTTCATTGTTTGCAGCTTCTAAACTTTTATGCATCAGTTACCCTGGGGGGATCAATATATCCTGCTCACCACACAACTTTACTACTAATGAGAGTTGTAGTATAAAAAATAATCTAATGTACTTTTTTTAAGAGCCTGCCCTTCACATTCATACAAACCTGCATCTGGGACCTTTTCTGCCAAAGGTCACCTTATCGCCTCAGAAAAATCACTCAGCCCTTCTAAGCCTTGTGACACGGTGGAAAATAGCTTCTTCTGCATGTGGTTGCTTGAAAACCACTAGTGTGAAATGCTGGCACAGCGTGTGGCCCGTCATCAGGCACTAACAGTGCAGTGAGCTGTTACTTCCCTAGAATGCTTTGTGCCTTTTGTGCACCTCCGAGGTAGCCAAAATTTTCAAGTATTTTTTTCATCTTTTTTGTTTGTTTGTTTTTGAGACAGGGTCTTGCTATGTAGTCCAGGCTGGTCTTGAACTTGCAGCGATCTTCCTGATTTAGAATTACAGGTGTGCATTGCCATACCTGGCTTTTGAACATTTTCAAATTAAATTTGATAAAATCCAATCCCTGGGATTGTCTTGCCCCTTATCCGAACACTGCAGACATTGGTTCTGAGAAACTTATTCCATGCAGTGAAGTTGCCTGGGTGGGATCTATTTCCAAATTGTGAAAATCAAGTGTATATTAATGTGCTAAATTCCCGGAACAATATCAGGCACATTAACATTCAATACATGTTAAGCGCACTACATCCTTCATGCCTTTATCCTTCTTTTCCTTCTGAACAAACAAAAGTAATAAGACAGTGAAATGGGAACAGCCTAAAAAATTAATATAAATTAAAAAGTTCTTTTCATTTCCTATTTGAAAAACCACTTAATTTCCTGATGTTTTTGATTGCGACCCACAGTACCACAGTAAATTATTAGAAGAAGCCTCAAGTTTAATCCTAATAATGGCTAAGACAGTTACAAAGTATTTTTCTATCCAGGTCTTATTGATTGTAGCAAATGAATATTTTCCTGAATCTCACTAGAGTATATTATTGTATCTTCTCAAGCATAATCAGACCGTAGAGTTTCTTTAAAATTTTTTAAAAGGAATTGGAAAATGTAGGAACAAAACCAAGTTTTTAATTATTTGCCTAATAATATTTTATATTGTATGCTGTTTCTCTCTGTCTCTCTCTTTTTCTTTTTTTTTTCTTGGGACAGGGTCTTGCTGTGCAGTTCAGGCTGGCCTTGCTGTGCAGTTCAGGCTCACTTTGTAGCCTGGGCTGGTCTTGAACTTGCAATGATCCTCCTGTCTCAGCCTCCCGAGTGCTGGGATTACAGGTGTGCGCTGCCACACTCGGTTTGTATGCTGTTTCTGGTAGAAGAGATTTTGCGGAGGACTAATGGTTGAAGTGATACGTAGTTGAAAATACTGTTTCTATTTCCATCACATCAAGAATTCTGCCTTAATGCTGTTGCTTGTGTGGTAACTGAGGTGCTGTCACTTGCCCTGGGCAGGAAAAGAGTGCTCCCAGGATGAGAGCACAGCCGCCGCCATCTTCACTGTCCAGATGGACGACTACCTCGGGGGCAAGCCGGTGCAGAGCAGGGAGCTCCAGGGCTTCGAGTCCACCGATTTTGTGGGCTACTTCAAAGGCGGGCTGAAGTACAAGGTAAGCCTCTTTCTCACACACATTCCCTGTGACAGTGTCTGTCCCTCCCCGTCTACCCGCTTGTGTCTTCAGAAATTGAAAGATCGGTGAGGGTACTTTGGGGATTTTTTTTCCTTTTCCTGTCTTTTTGACCTGTTTTGTTTACTGCTGCATCCCCACTGTCTGCTGGAGACGAGGTAAGTGCTTAGTAAGTGTCTGGAGTTGGTGGTGTGGTATGTGAAACACTCAGACTTACTTTATTTTGATGGATTAGTTGGTTTTGTCTTCACCAGAAAACCCTTTAATATATTGTAAGGTGATTTCAGTGATGCGCATTCTAAAAAATTGTAAACTTTTTGTTAGTCCGTGTTTGCAGCGTATAACAGTTACGTTCATCTCAGGGAGTCTGCATGGACGTAACATAGCTGAGTTCTTTCTACTTGCTGTGTCCTTCCCTTACTTTTCCCTCCGTCTCTTGTTTCCTCCCCTCTGGAAAAGGTCTGTCTATCTCTCTGTTTCCTTTTGTTCTGTGCTTTAAATTATGATTACATTATTAAATAAATAACGATTAACATTGTTGACTGAAGTCTCAGCAGTTTTCATTTTTGCTGTTGTAGGGAATCGCTGCATTTGCGGCCAGTAAGCCAGGCTTTCAGAATCTCGACTGCTCTGGAGTACCTTAGCACAGCACTGACGGCGATTATAATTTCAGCTCCTACAGAGAACTGTACACCTCTACCTAAGAGTGTGGCACAGGCACAAAGGAAAGGGCTCAGCTGAACATACGTGGGGTTCAGCCACACGGACTCAGATACACACACAGCAAACACTGATGACCTGACAGTTTTAATCCCTTTAGTAAAGGAGAGTTGGTTCTTCTGGAATTCTCCCTGTGCGCCTTCCCCATCGCCTCCCCTCCTGGCTGCGGGTGTCAGTGAGAGTGTGAGGAATACCTTCCCGGGCAGCCCAACCGGACCCCTGCCTTCTCAGAAGCAAACCTGCTCCAACATGTGCTCTACACTCCCCACTGCCTACCCTGCTGAACACCCGAAACCTCACAGCTAAACTAGATTCTGAATACATACTAACTTGCCTACTAAGAGGCTGGGTTTGTTTCTGCCTTTACCTGTCAGATCAGTGGTTGAATATTTTGTGGTTCCTTTGAGATCAGGACAAAACACCTGTAAGTTCTCTTTTCTTTTGAAATCGTTGTCTCATACTAAGGTACAAACACGAGGCTATTCCCTCTCTTATTTCATTCACATGAGTTCTGGTTTTCATCAAATGATCCAAAAACTTTGTGTGAATGAACCTAACATTTTAAGTAAGAAGCTGCTCATGGTTACTTGAGGGCAATTGCTGTGGCGTAGTCGTACTTAGGAACCCTTTTTTCTGTATCTCCCCACTTTGCGTTAGGGCAGGAACTTACTTTCTGTCTTGATTTCCTCACATGGGGTAAGTATACCAGCTATTATAAGGATTAAGAATCAAATTAAATAATAAAAGATGTATACAGTACATAATCAATAAGGACTTATTAATCCTGCTGGCTATGAACAGGACCTTTGAGATCAAACTTCTGGATGCGTATTAAAAACCTGGCATGATAAATAGTAATTTCACAGTTATTGGAGAATTATATCCTAATTACGGACATAAGATCACTGCAAATCAACATTTTTTTCAGAAAGAGGATATTTGCAAATGAAGATTAAATTTATAATAAGACAATCACTTGGCTATCTTATCATTAGTGATGTTGTACAGATGTGAATGTTTATGGATGCAAGAGAACTTGAGAGGAAATGTGGTGACAGAGATAATTTACTCCCCACAATAGCAAAGATGAAAATAATTACAATGAATTCCATCCCAGTACGTGTTTTAACTTCAAGCTCACGGGAATATGTTAATGACTTCATGTATACTACCTCACTGAATATAAACGTTTGTGTGGTGCATTTTCGATCATTACTCTTTTAAGATAAATAAAGCTTGGAGCGGCTGTGCACGGTAAGTGACCAGGGCTCAGAGTTAGTAGGTAACTGAGTGACCATCTGCCTCCAGGGCCTAAGCTGATAATTGTTGTTCTGTTCTACTCGTAACATAAATACATAATTCATAAGTCAGGACAGAATTTTAATTTTAATTTTATCCTCTGTATCCATTTGTTTGGAATAGACAAAATTTGACAAAGTCTGCAAGTCTGTGAAAACCATTTTAAGTTGCCAGATGCTAAGATTCAGACAGGAAATGCTAAGATCATCTTCCTGTCTCATTTTGATTGATGTCTGTTATTTCTCTCTGAGGTCTTTGGGAGGTTGGGGAGCAGTTATAGAGGACTGCTGCTTACACTGCTCTCTTGTGTTAAATTTCTTTCTTTGGAGGGGCTGGGGATTTAGCTCAGCGGCAAAAGCGCCTGCCTGGCAAGCGCAAGGTCATGAGTTCAGTTCCCGGTACCGGAGAAAAACCAAAAAAAAAAAAAAAAAATTTCTTTCTTTGGTTTTGTTTTGTTTTTTTTTTTTGGTTTTTCTCCGGTACCAGGAACCGAACTCATGACCTTGCGCTTGCCAGGCAGGCACTTTTGCCGCTGAGCTAAATCCCCAGCCCCTTAGATTTCTTTCTAATACACTCTTCTTAAACTCAATAAAACCTTGCCTTCAGCTAACGTTATAGATAGTGACCATGGGACATTTGTCAGCCGGCACACCTGTATTTATGGTGCCACTGGTTTTCAGGGTCATCCACTTCGCTTTGATTTTGCCTTGTGAAAGCAGAGTAAGGCTGGAAGTTTCTAGTGTTCATTCACAAAATATTCAGGGAAGAAATATTTACTGTCTAATACAGACATTTATGCAACATAATCGTTTTTCCTTTGTGCATTTGTGGCATTAAGTATTAGAGACAAGATGACTTTTAGAATAATGTTAATTTTTCAGACTGTATATCACTCTGATGGTTTTATGTGTGAGACTAGCTGAAATATTGTCTACTCTGTATTTTATAACTTTCTTAGATCACACTGTTTACTATTTTTAAAGTCAGATCACAATGTATATCTCTATTAATTTAAAAACCAAAATGGCCCCAAACAGTAGTGTATGGATGAAAATTTGTATCTATTTTATTGCATAATACTTACCTTATTCAACTAAGAAATGTGATAATCTTTGCAAAATTGTAGTCTGGGAAATTATTTACAGATATCCATCCCTTTACAGTCTACCTGTTTAATGACTATTTGGACTAATGACCAAGGCATGCTGTTTGAACTTATGATCCACCACTCGGACTTATGACCCATCTTTTTTTTGTGTACAGTTCTGTAAATCTTGTTGATAGAGCCTCATTGTCTTTTTTTGGTACAGTACACTTGTTTATATAGTACTGTAATTTTTGCTGATTGTATTGTACAGTACAGTGCTGTATTTGTATATTTTATTATACATTATAGTACCGCATGTGAGAGTTATGCAAATGAAAGCAAAGTCATCAAGTTGAAGCTTCCTTTGACCATTTCTTTGTTCTTAATCTTGTAATGCACATACTATACACAGCTCCTCATTCAGCAACCAATTCATTTAATGACTCAGGCACAGGGATATGTAGCTTACCCCATTATTTTGGATTCACTGGATGGAGTTGTACAATAAACTTGCAAGAAAAACTACTTTATAGATTATTTAATACAGTTAACTTTTCTTGCCATTATTGCAGGAGGTCTTTGGTCTTTCAATGACAAAGTTTTGTTTAGACTGCCTCTTCATTATGTGGAGTACTCCATAATTAATTATGCAAATAAAGATAGAATTCCTAACATTTAGTAAAACAAATGTAAGGGTAAAATATGATAGCAGATAATGCACGCAAATGTAGTTGATACGGTTAACATTTTTTCTTTGGGGATGTGCAATCAAGATACTGCATCTATCCTCCCTTAAGCTGAGATTGCTCAATCCTGGCATATTTGATAAGGTCTCTTTACCAGAAAATAACATAAAATCAAAGCGCCTACAGAGAGCTCTCCACGTGCCTTCTCTGTCCTAAGTGTGACGGTGGGACTGCTGGGTCCCAAGTCTGCTGCTGCTGTCACCTGTGCTTGTTACCTCTGATTTTCCAGCCTCTGGCCCTCTTCTTCCCTGAAACCCTTGTCTGCTTTCTCCCTCATTAAAGCTTTGTGAATCACTAGTTCCCCAAATGCCAGAGCTATGGCTTTTTTTTTTTTTGTTGATACATCAGAATTTTCTACACTGAAGTTCCTCGCAGTCCGAGATTGAAATACTAAAAGAAAGAGGGCTGGGGATTTAGCTCACGGGCACAGCGCCTGCCTGGCAAGCGCATGGTCGTGAGTTTGATTCCCAGTACCAGGGAAAAAAAAACAAAACCCAAAAATAAAAAACTAAAAGAAAGAGACTAGATAAAGAACAAAGATACAACCCTGTTGATTTACCAAGGAATTCTCTCTCCATATTTAACCTCTCAGTGCATGTAGGAGGCTGTTTTGTGCTGGCCTTTCAGGCACAGTTGTGGCGCAGACAGCCACTTCGTGATGCCTTGCTGTGGACGCCTTGCTGCGCCTCATGGGTGTTCTCTCTGTTCCGTCTTCCTCCCGTGGGCAGGCTGGAGGTGTGGCATCAGGACTAAACCACGTTCTCACCAATGACCTGTCGGCACAGAGGCTGCTGCATGTGAAGGGACGCAGAGTGGTCAGGGCCACAGAAGTTCCCCTCAGCTGGGACAGTTTCAACAAGGGCGACTGCTTCATCGTAGACCTTGGCCACGTAAGTTCCATCCACACACATGCGTGTGGGCACCAAAGTAAACTGCTTTTCCATCAAACCAGGTGCACACCTCAGTGAAGACAATGACTTTTCCCACATTCTTGGATACCGGTCTGGTTTACGCAAGGGGCGATTGTAATGTGTGAGTAACTGGCATGCTTTTAAGGACAAAGTGGGAATTCAAAGATTTTATGGTTTCTGATAGATTTAGAATAGAGTAGTGATTTAGTTCTTCCTACCATAGAACAGAAACGGAGTAATTTTCAATATATTTCCCCTTCTTTCTGAACAGAGCTTCCTCTAATTATTTTTGTCCTTAATTATACGTGGGAAAATGTGGCTATGGGGAAAACTGATTCCCTCAGCAGTCAACAGTTCTAGAACTTAAACTGGAGATCGAATGAGTCTAAATAGCCTGTTAAAGAATTTTGGGAGAAATTTCATACTCATACACAAGCTTACATACACTATACTATTTTGCAGTTTTCAGTGACCTTAGGGTTTTTGAATAAAAGAAACAAGTACAAATATCAACTATTATCTTAATGGTGTAGTGAACGGTGTATTATATCTGACCTTGTTCCTTCCAGGAAACAGAGTTCCTCTAATGTCAGATAAACTTATTAATGAGTAGCATCTTGATAAAGAAGACTTACCACAACGCCTTGCATTAGCAGTACAGAATTTTGAGACAGTGCAGCAAACAGAGGCCAAAAAAGTGTACTCCGTATGCACAGGGGAGGGACACGAAGGATTCTGGAAATAGAGCCTACATGTGAAAGTTCTACTTAACCAGTAATGATTTGGCATCAGCACAGACATTAAATATGGTTAGGGTTAGTCTGGAAAATAACGTCAAGGTATAAACATCATCAGTTTCTGTAAGTTAGGGTACAACTGCAGTTTTATTTCTGCTAATGTATAATCTTACTGTGTTGGATCATGCCAGCTTGTGTGAGCAGTTCAGGTCACAATTATATTAATGCTCAAAGTACGGTGCACTGTACTCAGACGCCTACACCCACAATGGCGGTACCTTTGCTGACCTTTAGATTTAGGTGTAAAACAGCCACTGTTCCATTCTTTTGTTGCTGTACCCCAAACATAAATCAAAATGCCCACAAGAATCATTAGGCCACATGGTTTCAAGGAGAACCAGAGATGCGGGAATGGGGAGGAAGGGGAGGGGAAGCGGGTGTAAAAAGAACGAAGCTGTGCCGTGTCCGTGCACCAGCTCCCCATGATGAATGTGAGCATTATGTGCTGTCAACATGGACTAATAAAAATAAAAATTAAAAAATAAAGTATAGAAAGCAATTACAGCAGTCCCTCAAAGCCAGTGCACAATAATTGCTTACCCTCACTTCCACCAATTACATTTTAAAGCCTTTTATAATTTATAAAGGGTTTAAAAACATGAAGTGACTTTTTTTTTTCAAGGAAAAAGAGACCTTAGTTCTTACTCATTTCTGTAATTTTCGGTCTCATTTGTAAGTAGAGATACTTGATTAGGGGATCTCTAGGGCCTCTGAGTGAAAGGGGCACTCGCTAGTGATAATGTAACTCATACCTGCCATTACTTGAAAGTATTTCTTGCTTGAAACATTTATTGCTTCATGCAATTGCCATACAAATGCAATAATCTATTTCATTATCACGAATAACTTCCAATTCAGAGTCCCAGCTATTCACTCTATGACCTGGAGCAAATCATTAACCACTGGAACCTTAGTTTCCTTATTTTTTTTAGATCTTGACTCTGCTCCCTGATGCCACTTCTGGCTTTAGCCAGCTGTGATTCACACGGTCACATCTGGGAAATGGCAGTTATCTTTCCAGTTTCAAAAAAGTAATAAAACCTCTGAAGGTGCAAGCAGGTCACTCACATTCACAGCAGTTGTGCGGTGACTGGAAGAGACCTGGGTTGTATTCCTAATCACATTCTTTTTACTGCACAAAGCTAAGTTGGTATTTATTACGTAGTATGGGGGAACAGAATGTCTTGCAGCCGTCTCAGACCTGATGACGTCTAATCTGGCTAAGATTCTCCTGGAAATAGTAGTGTTATTAAAGCATTTATTATTTTGTGGAACAAATGCTGCATTGCCACAGTGGGCTACATAGATAGTTGGGTGTTGTAGTAGGCATGCTCTCTTCCCATAGGTATCTTATACTGTGGGAGAACGACCCACAAATCCAGGCTCATATAAAGGGGTGGAGTCTCTCTTGTGAGTTCAAAGGCACTCAGTAACTTGACTTTATTTTATATAGTTAATTATCTTTAATAACTCAAGTGTCCTGCTCACAGGCCTTGTGAAGAGATATATGGAATGATTTTGTTGCAGAGTTACTTGTGTTTAGCTATCTCATACTTTGTGGAAGATTCCAACCCTCTAAAGGGACAATGTGATGGACTCAAATGTGTGGATTCTACAGTGCACTGGTACACACACCCACAACATTTGTGTTTGCATTACTAACCTTTAATCAGTTAATACATTGCCAGAAGTTTCTAAACATGATAAGATCTTGTGCTTATCCTGTTAACTTTATTTTGGGGGTATGGTGCAATAAACAAGAACTTTCTGAGTGATAACATTTTAATAAAAGTCATTGAGTTAATATTTAAAAACCACCCTTCTATGTTAGATGGCATAAAATTAAGCCAAAGCAGTTTAAATTTGTTTTATTACCCAGGTATAAAAAATGTAGGTTAAATCTGTAAAGCTGCCCCCCAGCTATAGCCATCTGGCCAAAACCAAGGTTATGGATATACATAAATTCCATGTTTTAATAATGCTTATGGGATGTCAAATTTTATGATAGTCACTATGATTAATATGATATTCCACATGCTTTAGAAACATATACTCTTTTAAAGGGTTTTAGGCTACAGTAGATAGGCTACAGTAGATACAATTATATACTTGTATATAAGTACATTCATTATAAGATTCAGAACAAAGGTTTGACAGTGTAATTTCCTTAACCCAAGGTCTCAGATCACAAAATTATCAGTTTAACCAGTATAAAGGTTAAGAAAATCATGAATATTTTAGAAAATAATATGTATGCAGACTTTCCTTGCTTAACGACTGAGGTCCGTTCCTGTCACTCGATTGCTCAACGAACTGGTCACTAAATGAGGAATTGTATATAAATACATTCATTATAAGATTCAGAACAAAGAAATGGTCAAAGGAAATTCCAACTTGATGATTTTGCTTTTATTTGCATAGCTCTTACATGCAGTACTGTAGTATATAGCAGCAGAAAACTACAGTACTGTATGGTACAATCAGCAAAAATTACAGTAGTGTATAAACAAGATGTACTGTACAAAAAAAGACATTGGGGTTCTATCAACAAGATACACAGAACTGTACAAAAGAAAAAAGATAGATCATACGTTCGAGTGGTGGGTTTTAAATCCAAATGGTGCTCCTTGGTTTTAAACCTGAGCAGTCATTAAATAGGTATATTGTGAAATGAAGCTTATCTGTATATTATTTAAGCACATCTTCAGGAAAATAGTATGGACGAATGCTGGATCCTAGCCATTTGTAATGTACTGAAAAGTGCTTTCAAACTGTATATTGCAGTACTGATAAATTTATTATTTATTATTTAACCATTAATTTTAAAGAAATGAGAGGGAAATTAACTAATAAAATCATGTCTAAAAATATTACAGTGAAGCGCCAGTAACTACAGGAAGTACATGATAGTGAAAAAGTCCATATTTTCCACATCATTGGTTAGAGAAAAGCAAATCAAAACCAAAATGAGACACCCCTTTGCACCTATGAGAGCACCATAATCAAAAAGCAGAAAATAACAAGTGTTGGTCAAGACATTGAAAAATTGGAATCTTGTGCATTGCTAGCAGGAATGCAAAACGATACAGCTGCTAGTATCATTTTACTTCAGGAGTTCCTTGAAATGTTAAACCTAAAATTACCTAGAAAATGACTTAGCGGGTCTGGGGATTTAGCTCAGCGGCAAAGCGCCTGCCTGGCAAGCGCAAGGTCGTGAGTTCGGTTCCCGGTACCGGAGAAAAACCAAAAAAAAAAA